AGACAGGAGCAAGTGCTGTATTAAGTGCGGAGAAGAGGGTCACTTTGCGAAATCCTGTACTAATAAACCCTTTTGCATTGCGTGAAAAAAGAGTTGGAAAGCGAACACCGAACACCAAAAAGGGAGCCGAAAATGTCACATTTACATAGCTGCGTGTAGTAAAAACCTAAGGTGAAGATCCTGCAAATAAACCTGAACCACTGTGAGGCGGCTCAGGGGCTATTAACGCAAACGGTGTATGAATATAGTATTGACGTAGCAATAATTTGTGAACAATACAAAAATAAAACGACTGACAAGTGGATCTCAGATACCAAAAAAAGGTAGCAATATGGGCTTGTGGAGACAAACCGTTTCAACACAAACCAGTAACTGAAAGGGCTTATTACGCAAAAGCAAAAATGCATGGCATAAACTTCTACAACTGTTACATACCGCCGAGTATCCCACTCGACGATTATGAAAAAATACTGGACGCACTTGTGGAAGACGCAATGACAACTACACCAAACATAATTGCGGGGGACTTCAATGCCTGGGCGATAGAATGGGAAGCAAAGAAACTAACCCGAGAGGAAGGGCACTGCTTAAAGCCTTTGCGGTGCTAGACGCTGTCCTGCTGAATACCGGGACAAAGAACACCTTTGAAAATAATGGAGGTGGATCCATTATTGACATATCCTTTGCTAGCAGAACCCTAATTCGATCAACTGACTGGCGGGTAAGCGACATATATACCCAGAGCGATCACCTGGCTATATTAATAAATATAAGGAAACACACGCAAGGACTAAGTATAACCCCTTTTCTCCAAAGAGTGCAGTCCAAAGGGTGGAGAATCGAAACACTTGACGAGGAACTTTTCCAATTTATGCTGGACGATACACTGAAGGAAGATACATATATCCAAAGCCTGCGATGCGGCTATGTTCAGAAAGAAGCAAACAGCCCATAGAAAGCGGGTATACTGGTGGAACAATGAAATCGCTTTACTGAGAAGCGAGTGCCACAAAGAGAGGCGCCGATTTCAACCTTGCATAGGCAACAGCGACTTTATGAGGCTGAGAGAAATTTTCAAAGGAAAGCGCAGGGTTCTCAAAAAATCAGTAAAGGCTAGCAAAACTTCTTGCTTCAAGATTTTATGCGAAAAAGTAGATGAAAACCCATGGGGAGAGTCATATAAGATAGTAATGGGAAGGATAGGAGGAGGCAAGGGGCAAGCATCGACCTGCCCCTCTTTGCTAAGACATGTGGTAGAAACGCTATTTCCTAAGCAAAACAAAAGAAGGTGGAAGATTACTTCTCGAAAAAGCGAAAAAAATACCAACTTACTTGTTGAGCATCATACAGAGTTATTTGTCCGAAAGGCACAGACGAAGGTCCAAAAGAGTATACGGTAGCTGGTGGTGTGCCACACTTCCGTACTGGGTCCACTCTTATGGAATGTGCTGTATGATGGAATATTACGCCTGCCGCTGCCTAAAGAAGTACAGATCATCGGATACGCYGATGATATAGCGGTAACCATAGTGGCCAAAGAACTCCACCAAATTCAGAGGATATGTAGTGAGACAGTACCAAAAATAAAACTCTGGCTAAATAACTCAAAACTACAACTCCCGGAACAAAAAACCGAAGCAGTGCTAATTACAAGCAGAAAAAAACTAGAGAATATCTCCCTCAACATTGACGGACATATCATTACAACGCAATCAGCACTAAAGTACCTTGGTGTAATGATCGACGCGAGACTGAGCTCCAAATCTCACATTGAGAAATTCTGCAAAAAAGCTGCCCATGTAAATGCAGCCCTAACCAGAATTATGGCCAACATAGGAGGTCCAAARCAAAGCAGCAGAGCACTTTTGGCCAAGGTTAGCCAGTCAATTGTAATGTACGCCGTACCTGTATGTGGACCAGCGCTCATGCAAAAAACATATGCAAGAATGTCAGAATCAGTGTTCTGGCTAAGCATTCCGCACAGTATATCATGAAGCCGCTAGCATTATATCTGGGTAATGCCGCCAGACATAATGGCTCGAGAACTGAGGCGGATATATGACAAAAGCAAAACCATAAGCAGAAAGTTGACAATGGAAGAGCGAAAATTGGAAAGACAAGAAAGCATGGAGGAATGGCAGAACCATTGAGACACAACAACGAAGGGAAAATGGACGCACAGTCTAATCGGGAAAGTACAAGAATTTGTAGAACGAAAGCATAGCGAGACAAACTTTTACATGACGCAGTTTCTGAAAAGACACGGATGTGTCAGAGAGTAACTGCATAGGTATGGTCATGACGATGGCGTTACTTGCTCCTTCTGTGGTAACAGTAGTGAAAATGCGGAGCATATATATTTCTACTGTCCAAGATTTACGCCAAAGCACCAGGCCCTGGAGATAGAAGTAGCAGGCCGGGTAACCCCTGAAAACATAGTGAATCATATGTTGGAAGGGACGACAGTTCTGATACTGCAAGAGCTGAGAAGAGCCGACCACCAAAGAAGTAGTGAAACTAGGCCACAAAGAGCTAAATACGTGAGCCAATAGGCTAAGATGGCCCTGCGATGTAATGCCTAGCGGCGGTCGCGCAGGGCCGTTCCATAAAGCTACAGATTACGGAGTTAAGGGTTTAGTACGTAGGCGTACTGTTCCGCAAGTCTAATAGAGTAAGATATTACTTATTAGGCGTGGTCCCGAATGAGGTGCACCTTTAGCAAGCAGTACGAATCGTGCATACTGCATACCACTAAGTATCAGTATTTATGAAAGATTCCCCCTTCGAAAGCAAAAAAAAAAAATAAATAAATAAATATGTGCGTATGACATTCCCACACCATTAATGCATATACAACATACATACTTGTATACATATACGTACACATGTAAATATGTCACCCCCAAAAACTACAAACCTTGCTTTACAAAAACAACAATCGTTTGAAATAGCATCATACATACTTATATGCGTTCACATGTAGATATGTCACCCGCAAAAATTACAAATGTCGTTCTTAAAAAGAAAAAGTGAAGCCATTTTACGCAAGTTAAATTCAACACCACTTGGTATGGAAGAACTTAATTTCATGGATCATGCAGAGCTGTCAGTCAGATCAGAACAGCTCGATCGTATTCAACATCAATTCGAACTAACGCAGTCACAGTTGGAGGAAGACGACCCTGATGAGCCAGAGAAACTAAGAACATAGAGAAGGTGCAAATTGAATTCTGTATGATGTTCGATTGCACGGCTAATAGAACTTATAAGTTTGGAGTACGGAATTCACCATTCTCGCTGCTATTTAGCAGAAATGAGCACGTTCTCTGGCAGAAATATACAGGGTGGCTGATGAAAGCCGCTACCAAAAAAAAGTTACATAAGTTACATAACTTTTTTTCTATCTAATGAATCTGGTAAATTTTTTTTTATTTTGCAGATTGACTTTACATTTAACAAAAATGGATAACTGGGACACTGAGACAGGAATTTGGATTGTTCGGAGCTATCACGCACTGGAGTCCTCCGAGCAGATGGACCATAATGAGACTTGTAAACAATGTTGCCGAGCATGGGACAGTCAACAGAAGACCTTACCATCGAAACCCTTCAGTTCGAATGGAGGAAACAATCGCTGCTGTAGCTGCTTCGACAAAAAGCTTATCTGCTTAAATGGGTGTAAGCACACAGTCATTACAGTCAATTATGCACAAAGATTTGGACTTATTCCCATATAAAATTCAAATGGCTAACAAACTGAACGCTGCAGACTTGCCGATTCGCTTGGAATTTTGCCAGAAGATGCTTCAAATGGTTGAAGAGAATGGAAACATGTTGAACTGTCTTTTCATGTCTGACGAGGCCCATTTCGATTTAAACGGCAACATAAACAAACAAAATTGTGGGATATGAAGTGCTTCCAACCCACAGATACTCCATGAGATGGAAGTGCATAAACTCCACATCCCGTTGGCTACCCATTTCGCCTGACCTTACTGCACCTGATCTTTTCTTGTGCGGTTATTGCAAACAGGAAGTCTACAAAGCAAAACCGAAAAATTTCAATGAACTAAGGCACTCCATTTGAGAACAATTGCGGCTATTCCTGTCTCAACTCTCCAAGCAGTAATGAACAACTTTTTGGTAAGATGCCGCACATGCATCAACGAGCAGGGGGGCATTTAATTTCCATTATTTTTTAAAACTATTTGAGCTATATTTAATAAAATTTAATGAGCTTTAACATGAATAAAAGAAAAATGAATTTCATACACTGAGAAAAAAAAATCAAATTTGAGTTTCTTAATTGAGCAAAATTCATCAGCCACCCTGTATAATAGAAGAGTTTGCTCAACAGAAATCCCGAAAGAAATCACTATCTTAATATCGTAATCACACACACTCACGTACACCTACATTCATCATCATTAATGTGGGAATGAAACGATATGGCAGCACAGAAAACGCAGAAGAGGAAGAGGAGGAGTATCCGCAAGACGAGTAAGAAGTTACGACGTAGCAAGATAGAGCTGAATTAAATTTAACATAAATAATTTTCCTTTGTATTCTTAAAATCAACAGTTTTGTTCAAGAAACCACATTATTCATTTGTTAAATATAATTAATCTTGCCTACATAACTGATCTTGCCCACTAATTTGGGGGCTCAACCTAAAAGTAATTGTGTAATTGAATATTTCAAAATGGCGAACATACAAAGCTTTGGTAATGTACATGAAAATATATGACGAATGCGAAAAGAAACTATTAGCGCATTGCGTAGATTTATTTTCGAAGACGAAGGTGATAGGCGAAATAGACAGAGACTGCGTGAATTTGAGGGTTTCAATAACGATGAGCACGACGACGAGTATGCGCAAAAGGCCGCATACATTGCATTAAATTTATCTGTAGCAGAATTAATTTCCACTTTCAACTTACAACAACTGAGCTGCAAACAGGAAAATGTACAGTTGCATATCTTTCGAAATCTACAAAAAGGAAATCTGCTTGGTTCCAACGATAACGACGAAGACGATAATGATGACGATGAGGATGACGACGAAGAAAATTACGACGATTGCGAAAGCGGTGAGGTTGCAACAGACAACGTAAACGGCAGAAACTGCGGCGAATTGGCGGACAAGTGTACTAACCAGCCCAATCCACTTAGAAAAACAACCAACAGTCATGAAAGAGAAAACGATGATTGCTTTGTATAATTTTTAAGCAACGACTATGTAACCGAAAAAGAAAACACAATAACATCGAGAAGCAGAAGACCACAACCACCACAATTGTCCAGATTTGCGATTAATTTTCGCGATGTAGAAGAGACAATAGACATTACGATGGAACAGACAATATACCAGTTGAAGTTTGGGTAAACAAATTCGAGGAAACAGCAGTTGTTATGGGATGGGATGATTTTCAAAAATATGTAACGGGTGATTTTTTAAGAGCTTGATAACTTTTTAAAAAAAAAAA